TGGGAACTCCTGGATCTTGTTGGGAGGTTCTGGATCCAGCGGCTCCAGGAGCTCCAGAGGAATTCCAGGGAGGAGCCAGGAATTCCAGGGAGGAATGAGGAATTCCAGGGAAAAGGCAGCAGCTCCGTTTTGGAGCCAGGAATTCCAGGGCAGAACCAGCCTCTCCTGGGATCAGTTTTTGGGATCAGTTTTTGGGATCAGCCTCTCCTGGGATCAGTTTTTGGGATCAGTTTGTGGGATCAGTTCTCTGATTTCTCCGGATTTCTCCAGGAATCCAGGCAGGATTCAGGACACTCGTGCATCTCATTCCTGAGGAATTCCGGGTGGGGTCTGGGACACTCCCGACCCCGTTCCCAAGGAACTCCAGGCAGGATTTGGACTCCCCAAAGAATTCTGGGTGGGATTGGGATTCCCCATTCCCAAGGAATTCTGGGTGGGACCAGGACACTCCTGATCCCATTCCCAAGGAACTCTGGGCAGGATCGGGATGGGGATGGGGATGGGAATGGGGATCAGGATCGGGATCAGGATAGGATCAGGATGGGGATCAGGATGGGAATGGGGATGGGGATCAGGATGGGGATTGGGATCAGGATGGGGATCAGGATGGGGATCGGGATCAGGATCAGGATTGGGATCAGGATGGGGATCAGGATCAGAATCGGGATCAGGATCAGGGATCAGGATGGGGATCAGGATCAGGGATCAGGATCGGGATCAGGATCAGAATCGGGATCAGGATCAGAATCGGGATCAGGATCAGGATCGGGATAAGGATCAGGGATGAGGATGAGGATGAGGATGGGGATCGGGATCGGGATCAGGATGGGGATCAGGATCGGGATTTGGATCGGGATCAGGATCAGGATCAGGATGGGGATCAGGATCGGGATTGGGATCAGGATCAGGGATCAGGATCAGGATCAGGGATCAGGATCAGGATTGGGATCAGGATGGGGATGGGGATCGGGATCAGGATCAGGATCGGGATGAGGATCAGGGATCAGGATCAGGATGAGGATGGGGATCGGGATCGGGATCAGGATGAGGATGAGGATGGGGATCAGGATCAGGATCAGGATCAGAATCAGAATCAGGATCAGGATCAGGATCAGGATGGGGATCAGGATCAGGATGGGGATCAGGATGGGGATCAGGATGGGGATGGGGATGGGGATGGGGATCGGGATCGGGATCAGGATCAGGATCAGGATGGGGATCAGGATGGGGATCAGGATCAGGATCAGGATCAGGATGGGGATCAGGATGGGGATCAGGATCAGGATGGGGATCGGGATGGGGATCAGGATCAGGGATCAGGATGGGGATCAGGATGGGGATCAGGATCGGGATCAGGATCAGGATGGGGATCAGGATCAGGATGGGGATCAGGATCAGGATCAGGATGGGGATCAGGATCAGGGATCAGGATCGGGATCACTCACGTAGGGGGTGAAGATCTTGACCCAGCGCGGTTTGCGCTCGGCGCGCGCGTACTCGAAGCAGAACGCCATCCCCTCCTCGTCCGTGTCCCAGCGCTGCATCTCCTCCCACTCGAAGGCGATCACCTGGTTCTGCGGAATTCCCGACCCCGCTGAGCCCCGAGGCCTCGGGATGGGCCGGGGGGTGAGGGAAAAGGAGGAGCTGCCTCCCGTCGAGCACGGGGAGGATTCCCGGAGTTATCCCGGAGAGCAGCGGCTGCGCTTCCCAAATCCCGCCCCGGAGCCGGGGCGAGGGGCAAATCCAAGGTGTGGGGTGGGTAACGATCCCAAATAAATCCCAGGGATTTGGGATGGTCCCAAATAAATCCCAGGGATTTGGGATGGTCCCAAATAAATCCCAGGGATTTGGGATGGTCCCAAATAAATTCCAGGGATTTGGGATGGTCTCAGGGTAAATTCCAGGGATTTGGGATGGTCCCAGGGTAAACCACAGGGATTTGGGATCATCCCTGGAGTTGGGACAATCCAGGGGAGCTGGGATGATCCCAAGGATTTGGGATGATCCCAGGGATTCAGGACAACCCCAAGGATTTGGGACAACCTCAGGAATTTGTGACAATCCCAGGCTTTGTGACAATCCCAGGGATTTGTAACAACCTTGGGATTTGTGACAACCCCGGGATTTGGGACAATTCCGGGATCTGGGACAACCCCAGGGATTTATGACAACCCCAGGGATTTGGCACAACCTCAGGGATTTGGGACAACCCTGGGATTTGGGACAATTCCAGGATTTGGGACAACCCCGGGATTTGGGACAATTCCAGGATTTGGGACAACCCCAGGAATTTATGACAACCCCGGGATTTGGGCAGCCGCAGCTCCAGGGTCTCGGGGCCACGCGGGATTCCCAGGACAAGGCTGGGGATTCCCGGGAACGCAGGCTGGGCTGGGGATTCCCGGGAATTCGGGCTGGGGATTCCCGGGAATGAGGGCTGGGGATTCCAGGAATGCGGGATGGAGATTCCCGGGAATGAGGGCTGGGGATTCCGGGGAATGAGGGCTGGGGATTCCCGGGCTGGGGATTCCCGGGAACGTGGGCTGGGGATTCCCAGGAATGAGGGCTGGGGATTCCCGGGCTGGGGATTCCGGGAACTCGGGCTGGGGATTCCTGGGCTGGGAATTCCCGGGAACGAGGGCTGGGGATTCCAGGAACACGGGCTGGGAATTCCCGGGAACACGGGCTGGGAATTCCCGGGAACACGGGCTGGGGATTCCCGGGAACACGGGCTGGGGATTCCCGGGAACGCGGGCCGGGATGTCGGGAATACCTCGAGCTGCCCCTCCTCGGTGCAGGCGTGCAGTTTGAAGTGGCGGATGCTGATGGCCGAGATGACGTGGCCGCGGCGCCGCGAGTCGCACGAGCAGTGCGGGAACGTGATCTCGTTGTACCCCTCGCAGGAGCGCAGCATCGTCAGGTACTGCAGGGATAACGGGAATGTCGGAAAAACGGGAATGGGATAACGGGAATGTGGTAACGGGAATGTCGGGAAAACGGGAATGTTGGGATAACGGGAATGTTGGGATAACAGGAATGTGGGATAATGGGAATGTTGGGATAACAGGAATGTCGGGATAACGGGAATGGGATAACGTGATCTCGTTGTACCCCTCGCAGGAGCGCAGCATCGTCAGGTACTGCAGGGATAACGGGAATGTCGGGAAAACGGGAATGTGGGATACGGGAATGTTGGGATAACGGGAATGGGATAACGGGAATGTTGGGATAACGGGAATGTGGGATAACGTGATCTCGTTGTACCCCTCGCAGGAGCGCAGCATCGTCAGGTACTGCAGGGACAACGGGAATGTTGGGATAACGGGAATGGGATAACGGGAATGTTGGGATAACGGGAATGTGGGATAATGGGAATGTTGGGATAATGGGAATGTTGGGATAACAGGAATGGGATAACGTGATCTCGTTGTACCCCTCGCAGGAGCGCAGCATCGTCAGGTACTGCCGGGATAACGGGAATGTTGGGATAATGGGAATGGGATAACGGGAATGGGATATGGGAATGTTGGGATAACGGGAATGTGGGGATAATGGGAATGGGATAACGGGAATGTGGGGAGAACGGGAATGTGGGATAATGGGAATGTGTGGGATAATGGGAATGTGGAAGAATGGGAAGGTGGGGGATAATGGGAATGTGGGGGGATAATGGGAATGTGGGGGGATAATGGGATAATGGGAATGGGATAATGGGAATGTGGGGATAACGGGAATGTTGGGATAACGGGAATGGGATAATGGGAATGGGATAATGGGAATGGGATAACGGGAATGGGATATGGGAATGTTGGGATAACGGGAATGNTTCACCGGGATTCTGGGATTCACCAGGATTCTGGGATTCACCGGGATTCAGGGATTCACCAGGATTCAGGGATTCACTGGGATTCACTGGGATTCAGCGGGATTCTGGGATTCACCGGGATTCAGGGATTCACCAGGATTCACTGGGATTCACCAGGATTCACCGGGATTCAGGGATTCACCGGGATTCTGGGATTCACCGGGATTCTGGGATTCACCGGGATTTACCGGGATTCTGGGATTCACCGGGATTCTGGGATTCACCAGGATTCTGGGATTCAGGGATTCACCGGGATTCAGGGATTCACCAGGACTCACTGGGATTCTGGGATTCACCAGGATTCACCGGGATTCTGGGATTCACCAGGATTCTGGAATTCTGGGATTCACCAGGATTCACCAGGATTCTGGGATTCACCAGGATTCTGGAATTCTGGGATTCACCAGGATTCACCAGGATTCTGGGATTCACCAGGATTCACCGGGATTCAGGGATTCACCAGGATTCAGGGATTCACCAAGATTCACTGGAATTCTGGGATTCACCAGGATTCACCGGGATTCAGGGATTCACCGGGATTCTGGGATTCACCGGGATTCTGGGATTCACCGGGATTTACCGGGATTCTGGGATTCACCGGGATTCTGGGATTCACCAGGATTCTGGGATTCAGGGATTCACCGGGATTCAGGGATTCACCAGGACTCACTGGGATTCTGGGATTCACCAGGATTCACCGGGATTCAGGGATTCAGCGGGATTCAGGGATTCACCGGGATTCACCAGGATTCACCGGGATTCTGGGATTCACCGGGATTCAGGGATTCACCAGGACTCACTGGGATTCTGGGATTCACCAGGATTCACCAGGATTCTGGGATTCACCAGGATTCTGGAATTCTGGGATTCACCAGGATTCACGGATTCAGCAGGATTCTGGGATTCAGCGGGATTCAGGGATTCAGCGGGATTCAGGCACGGGCAGGGATCCCAGCATTGGGAATGCGTTGGGAAGAGCTCAAAGCTCATCCCATTCCACAGCGGGGACGTTCCCGCTGCTCCAGCCTGGCCTGGGGCGCTCCCAGGGCTGGGGAAATCCATGGATTCTCTGGATAACCCATTCCAGAGCCTCTTCCCGGCCGCATTCCCGGGAAAATCCGGGATAACTCACCATGACCATCTTCCTCTGCTCGCAGAGCTTCTGGAGCTGGTAGGATTTCTCCTCGGCTTTGATGTAGCCTTTCTTGACGTCATCAACGGCCTGGGAACAGGGAAAAAACGGGAAAAATCCAGGAAAAATCCGGGAAAAAATCCGGGAAAAAACGGGGAAAATCCGGGAAAAATCCAGGAAAAAAATGGGAAAAATCCGAGAAAAATCCAGGAAAAAATCCGGGAAAAAAATCCGGGAAAAAAACGGGGAAAATCCGGGAAAAATCCAGGAAGAATCTGGGAAAAATCCAGGAAAAAATCCGGGAAATAAACAGGAAAAATCTGGGAAAAATCCAGGAAGAATCTGGGAAAAATCCAGGAAAAATCCGGGAAAAAATCCGGGAAAAAATCCAGGAAAAAATCCGGGAAAAAATCCGGGAAAAAATGGGAATTCCTCAGCTGGTGGAGCCCTTCTGGTGAGCTTGAGCTCAATCCCATAAAACCAGTTGGAATTCCCGAATTTGGGATCAACCCTTGGACCCAACCAGTTTCCAAGGACTTTTCCTGACCCAAACAGGGATTCCAGAGGAATTCCAGGTGGGAATTCCAAGCTTGGAGCGCCTCAATCCCATAAAACCAGTTGGAATTCCTGAATTTGGGATCAACCCTTGGACCCAACCAGTTTCCAAGGACATTTCCTGACCCAAACATGGATTCCAGAGGAATTCCAGGTGGGAATTCCTCATCGTGGAGAGCGCTTGGAGTGCCTCAATCCCATAAAACCAGTTGGAATTCCCAATGTTGGGATCAACCCTTGGACACAACCAGTTTCCAAGGACATTTCCTGACCCAAACAGGGATTCCAGAGGAATTCCAGGTGGGAATTCCAAGCTTGGAGCGCCTCAATCCCATAAAACCAGTTGGAATTCCTGAATTTGGGATCAACCCTTGGACCCAACCAGTTTCCAAGGACATTTCCTGACCCAAACATGGATTCCAGAGGAATTCCAGGTGGGAATCCCAAGCTTGGAGTGCCTCAATCCCATAAAACCAGTTGGAATTCCCAATGTTGGGATCAACCCTTGATCCAAATGCCCTTCCAGGACTTTTCCTGACCCGAATGGGCATTCCAGAGGAATTCCAGGTGGGAATTCCAAGCTTGGAGTGCCTCAATCCCACCAAACCAGGTGGAATTCCCGAATTTGGGATCAACCCTTGATCCAACTGCCCTTCCAG